GAGAGAGAGAGAGAGAGAGAGAGAGAGAGATATCTCGAATATTGAACAATAATTCCCGTAATGCGCGCACGTTCTCGTTAATTAATGTTTCAATTATAATATAATTTCGTGTATAATTTCACGATCTTAAATTATAAAAAGATTGTATTCTTGTGTGTGAATATAATGCGAATTAATTAATACCTTGTGGAATTCCACTGAGAAATCCAGTTGTGTTATTTATGAATTTTTGATTTAAATGTTAAATTCTTCTAACACTTCGTTGTATATCAGTTGATAGGATATTCATTTATTCAAGTTTGGATAAGAAAATGCTGTTTATCAGTGATAATTCCGCGTAAAGCAAAAAAACTGCAGATAAACTTTAAAATATTTATCTATAATTACGGGTTATTTAAAATGTTTTGCGCGTCTTTCAATTTATTAGAACGAATATTTGTGTCGAGGAAAGCTTATCTGTAAAAAAAAAAAAAAAAAAAAAAAAAAGGAAAAGAAAAAGAAGTCGATCGAATTTCAAGATTGTTAAATATCCTTTTTATTTAATTGTATGTAAATTATCTTAAATTAATTATCATTATTAATATAATGAAACATTTTTCACGGAATACTTATCAAAATTTAGAAATACAAATTTCATTTTTCCTAAACAAATTCGTTTAAAAATTATTTTAAAATTCTAATCTTTCCCCGCCAAAATTGTTTAAAAATTATTCAACAATCTTTTTCCTCGGTGAATTTTTCCATAAAAATTCGCACGCGTTGTCAGATCATTAAAGATGCAAGTCATTAAGGATAAATGAATCGAATCTGTCCATGAACATCTCCACACACGAGATACTCGCCATTATCATTTACATACGTAGCCCTGAAATTTTTAAATCTATTCTACATCACATTTGCGTGTATTGAATAATGGAAAAAAAAAAAGGAAAAGAACCAGTGCAATTTTCCCATTGTTCCTATTTGCAAAGTACAATGTCTTCTCGTTGTCACGCCCCCTGGTTACTTGAATTATTCATGGAAATGAAAAAGATATTTTTCATGAGGTAAAATGCAACTTCGTCGAGGAGGAAGATCGTTTTTAAAGGGCAATTTAATTTTTTGAGGGGGAGCGAATTGCCACTCAATGGCCCTGCGTTTAAACGTCACTTTACCGAAGACATTGTCGTTCAAGGATTTACTTACATCGCGAGGAAAATTGAATTTTGTTGGATGAATGGAAAGAATGTGGCAGTTTCGAAATCTCGTTGATCTCATTGGGGAAAAAATGGTGGTGAACTGGAAGAGACTGCGTTAGATAATCTGCGTTATGTAAATTAAAAAAAAAATTATTGAAAAAGTGATTGTGCGATTTTTATGATTTGATATTTCGTTAATTGACAAAGGGAAGAATTTCATGTATTCCAATATTTTTATTCTGATAATTTAATATTCTAAAGGAATTTTAATTATTTTAACATTTTTAGTTTTTAGATGTTTGATATTTGGTGTTAATTGATAAAGAAAAGAAAGAATTTTAATTATAAGGAAACATACAATTTAGCATTCATTTAAGAATTTCCAATGATAGAATTTCGTCAGATAAAAAGAATTTTGAATTTATTTGAATAATGATATAAAAAAAACTGTCAAAATTAAAATTTTCTTTGACAGTAGTCTCATTTAATCTATTTATAATTATAATTCATTATTTAATAGAATAACTAGTTTAAAATTCTGAAGCATAAACAAATACTTTTTAATTTTTCAAATTTCATTAAATTACTTTCGTAATTTTCAAAAGATTCTCCTTTTATTGAATCTTAAACACTGAAATTCGTATCGTAGGAATCAATCGCAATTGTTGATCTTGAAATTCTGTTAATTTTCCTCGCGATCGCGTGAAAAATGAAATATAAAACGTGGAAATGTGGTTAAGGAAAAGGAATTTGTGGAAAAGGAATTTCCAGATACTCTGCAGAGTATTTATCGAGGGATGTGAGAGGAGCAAATGTTACCTTGACCTCGCTCGTCGTAGATATCGTTTCTGTTATACGATTTTTCGTTTTCTTATCTTCACTGAAGCCGCAATTACTATCTATCCGATTGCTTAACGCTTCGTTGCAATCGATTCGAAAAAGAAAAATTTACGAGAGTAATAAAAAAATGGACAGATCAACTTTTCCATTTGGTAAACTCGTGTTTCCATCGTGATGGAATTTATTTTTACATTTTTCGTAATTCTCGATCGAGGAATTTTTTTGAACTCGAAACAATTAAAAATTAAAATGGATATATACAACTTAACTGTGAAAAAAGGGAAGTTGATCGTATGAAATTTTTGAATATACTACGCACCAGTCAAATTAAAAACTAATTATTAAGTTTGATAGATTTTTATTTTAGAATTTTTATCTATATAATATTAGTTTAGATTAATTTAGCGTAGTTCTAGAAATTTTTGTAGTAAATTGATACTTGACATTCAAATATCAATATAATATCAAAGGTATTTGACTTATTTTTTTGTTAAATATTTATTCTATTATATATTTTTCAACTTTTGTTCAATATTTTTTACATAAATCGTATTTCGCTAAATAAAAAACAACACTTATCGTATAATCAGATTCAATTTATATAAGTATGTTCGTATCTTATCGAATTTTTTCAAGTAAATATTTTTCAATATATTTTCAAAATATTAATAAATATTGATAGACGATGATCGAGGATGCAAACATATAATAAATAAAAGGAATAAAAATAAAAAAAAAGAGGAAGAAATTTAATTCTTATAATGAAATTATTCCTTTATTTTGTTAATATATAATCATTTTTATCGCGTACAATTTTATATATATCTTTAACAAACATTATTTGCGAATGATTTTTCATTAGTTTCCCGATAAATTAATTATTTTTGAATGTATAATGAAAACGAAGAGATGTCGTTCGTTTTGTATGGAAATTTGTTAAAAAATGAAATAATTAACGTGCTTTTAATTAAAATACTATGGAACAGCAGACTGATATATCAAGTTACAAAGAAATAATGATTTTAAATGGTAACAAAGAGAATTTTTAAAAAATACAAGATGTTTATCTAAAATGTACAAAGCTCAACTATTCTAATTAAATTATGAATTTATATAAAATATCTTGTTCATAAAAAAATAAACTTAAAGCAAACATCTCTTTTATCCCTTAAATATTGTACAATTTGACATATTCAAATTTCACAATAAATGCATATTTGCATTTGTAATTTACTCATAATATTCAGATAATATTTAATAGCTAAACACACCCATCTTTCCACCTAAATTTATTTCTTCAAATTCAATTTCTCCACATGTATATAAACCACTCATCAAACCACTCAAAATTGTTTAAATCCACTTGAAATCATCTTCCAAATTCCATTCACCCACCATCACAATCCCCAAATTCAAAATCAAATTCATCCTCTCACTCCCTCCCTTAAAAAAAAAAAACAACAAAAATATACCTACGAAACTACCAACACACCATCACACCCAATTCACACCACGAAATCGCGACGACGCGTGGTGTCCTCCGTTGCGTTCGATCACGGATCCTCGTCACGTGCGATCAAAGAAGAAGAAGAAGATCCCGAGAAAAAAAACAGTGGTCGCGCGAAGCCTTTCGCCTTGGCCTAAGATAAACGTAGCTGAAACTTTAATCGGCGACCAATCACGCCGGGGGAGTGTTCCGTGCCAGACCAATGAACAGCGCCTCCTTATCAACCTGGCCACACACATATAAACCGACCACCGGTTCCGTCCACCGTGCAGAAAGGGTCCGGCCAAACCGAACTTCCTATAACCCGCGTAACCGCATTTTCCCTCCCCACACTTATCCATCTGTCCGTGGATAAATCGTCGCTCGGCGATTAACTCACCGACTCTCCTTATTACTTAACAACAACAAGGTTGGGACTTACAGACGTGGAGGCTTCCGCTCGCGTCGTGCGTCGCGTCGTTTGCCGCAACCGCGGCCAAGCCAACTGTCAGCGGAAGGCCGAGCGCGATCGCTCGTTATAACGCTGCCTGCTCGTACGTTAAAGTGGCGCTCCACGCGCGTATCAGTCGGTCGGTCGATCGTCGTACGATTCAGCCGCGTGCAGCTAGCTAGCCGTGGGTGGACGAGGAAGGAAGAAAGAAGCGAGGGACGCGCATTGTATTCCCGTGACAGCGGGAATAAAGTGTCTCGAGCCGGCCATTTGACTCGTCCGCGTTTAGTTGGCCACCCACCCCTCTCGGGAGGAACGAGGATGCCAGCAGCCGGACTTTTCGCGTTTCTCGGCGTCGCTCTGATCGCCTCCTTGACCGATGCCGCCTCCATCAGACGTGCCAACCGCAAGGCCATGGACTGCTATAGGTGAGTGAAAGGGAAACGGCCAAGGCGCGGAGAGGCGCTGCGTTCTGCTTCCAAGTAGAATTAGATACCCTGGCCTCGCATTATTGTATATACACAACAGAGTAGTGAGATAGAAGCTTGGTTATTTATTATTTTTCGTTTTTTTTTTTTTTTTTTTACACGAACGTACGCGCGGGTACGTGTTTTGGGTGTTCGTTTTTTTTTTTTTTTTGTACACGAACGTACGCGTGTGTACGTGTTTAGGTTGATCGATTTTTCTTTTTTTCTGAGAAATTAATAATGTTGAAAAATAAGCGAATTTAAAAAAAAGTCGGAGACAGATAGCGGTGGATAATTGTTGTTTTAAATGGATTGTTATGAAGAAGAAAATTGTGCGTTGTAATTATATAGTTTGATATAATAAAAAAAAGTCCCTGACTGGTGGTTATGTAATGTAAGGATAGATAGAAGCTCGATTATCTGAACTGTGGACTGTTAAGTGAATTTTTATGGTATTTATTTATCGTTGCAATTTCACTAATCGGCAAAATTAGACGTATAATTCTATGGGATTCTTGATTTCGTAATGAAAATTATCTTGAATAAGTCTTGTTTCCTAATTAGAATAATAGAAGTTTAACGAGCTATATACTCTTGGCCCAGATATTCTTTCTTTGACAAAGAAATAGAGGGAGAGAAAGAGAGACAGAGAGAGAGATTTTTGTTTGTTCTTTTTGGAATTCTTCCTTTTTTTTTTTTTTTTTTTTTGGAGAAGGGTTGGTTTCTTTTGTTTCTTTAAGCGGGGTTTTTTTATTCTTGAGATGAATTTGAGATTGAGGAAGAGAGTTTTGGATTAGGATGTTGAAGAAACGTGTTCGGAAGGATTGAAGAATTTAAGGTGGTTGAACATATATTGAGAATAATTTTACAATTTTATGCACAGTTTTTGTACAAAAATAAGACAAATCCTCTCTTAGTTTAGTAAATTTACACGTTAATCTCCATTAAATTATTAAATCAGTATATAATTTTTAGAATTAATTTCACCAATTAAATAATTAAATTAAAAAATTGGTTTAGTTCAGGATTCATTAGAAGTCTTTTCTTCCATAAACACGTCTTCATAAAATATATAGTTCAATTTATGCATAAGTCTTGACGAAACTTCTATTAATATCTAATCAATGAATTTTATTTATTATCCATTCGCGTCGAAATTTTTAATAGAACGTTTTACTCCATCTTAATTGATCTTAATGGAATTACCATTTATCCGAAGACTAAATAGGAAATTAGCCTTCGATTGATTAAATCCTCTTTTTATTCCAGGCAAATTGATATCGTTTAAACAAAGAGGAACGAGGAGTCAATGCCTGGTAATTATAACGATAATACTCGAGAGCGAATAATTATGTCGGAGTTTATAGTCGGTTTCTATATTTGCCAGTGGTATTTTCCTTTCACCTCACTCGAGAAAAATAATTTCGATTGTTGTGGCTGTGAGAAATTCGATTAGATCGATTAGACGATAATTCGTGAATCGATACAACGTTTGCTCGTTCGTTATTTATCGACTATTGAAAATTCTCTTTATTGTCTATTTGTTTACTGCAAAAAAAAAGCAAACGTATGAGCGAAACGATAAAAGGGTAATGTAATTTTGTAGAGTAATTAAAACGAAATGAGAACATCTATGAAAAAAAAAAAAAGAAAGGTTAGAGTTATTTAGAAGCAAGCATAGATCTTTTATCAAAAAATTTCAACGATCCGTAAAATAAAAATAGATTTCGAATTGTTTTGTATAAAATAGGAGATATCTTCGTTTAGATATCTGTTTAGATATTGAAATCACTATCGGTATCATTGTGTCAGTCAAAAAAATTTCTTACTTACATTTGTATCCAATCTTCTCTGATTAATTAAAAATTAATCAATAAATTTCAGAGAAAAAATCATTCCATAAAATCATTCAACCCAGGGCAATCGACAACATTTTATTTAATATCAAAATTCTTGGAAAAATTATTCGTATCAAAATGAGCAAAAAAAAAAAGAAATTATTAATAACTCTGACCACAAACATTCGACAATCATTGCGCGCTTGTGCAAGTACAATCGATAATATATTCGACTTATAATTGCTCGAGTTCTCGTTTTTTCCCCTCCAATATTTTAATAATCGCAATAAAAATTCGAATTTTCTCGATAAATTTTCTTCGTCGTCTAAGCAACACTTCCGCGCAAGAACGAATTATCAGAACGGTTCGAAACCTTAGATAAACTTAGTCCACTTTTACATATCGAATATATGTACACGTATACGTGAGGTTGGTTGATAAAATGAATGAAATTCTGATATCATCGGGATATTACGTTTTAGAGCGATATAGGAAGTACTAAACATGAACAGGATTTGACTCGATTGTTATGAAAACATGCACTTCCTCTGATTCGATCATATTTACGCTGTTTTTCTCTTTTTTTTTTCTTCTTTTTCTTCTTCTTGTGAGAGCGTGATAAACAATTGATATATTACAAAATGTGTTTCGCAATAGTTTCGAATATTCTGGAAAATGATGTATAGATTTGTAATTTGTTGGACGATTTTTGAACGTAAAAATGATTTTTTATATTTTACGTACTGCAGATTTATGAATTTTGAGGAAAATTTTGCATTAGAATTTTTGTAAATTGTGTAAATAAATGATTTGGAATTTGAAATTAAAATTTTTTTAGTATTCATACAGTTTTTTTTAAAATCAGAATTTTTAAAATCATCGAGACTCAAAGTTTTTTAAATTCGCAATTAAAATTTTAGAATTCTTCAATTTTTAAAATTTTAAATCTTGAAAAAATCTTGAAAAGCTTTAATCTTTGAAGTAATAATTTCCAAAACTTTTTTATATCGTTGAAAATCAAACTCGAAAACTCGATATTTAATTCAATTCATTTACAAAACAAAAGTAAAGAAAACAAAAAAGTTCAATTCGCGAACTTATTTATTCTTTTCAACTCTTCCAAATCTTCTTATTTCAAAGAGAATCTCAAACTTTCTAACAAATCAAATTGTTAAAAAACTT